TTGATCGGGTGCACTATGTTGTGATCCTAGGTCTACCATAGGTGACCAGATGGCGGTAATCCCTGCGCCAGCTCCAAATTTATGTTCCGCGACTTCGGAGGTCCCCACATCGAAGAGAAATTAAGCATCAGGCTACTAAGTTGCCGACAAACGACGAAATTTGTGAATCGACTAGCGACGTCCTACGATACTGGGTGTCCGTGCCAATATAGGATGGTTGATGGTGCATGTATGCTACGCATATGCCCTTAAACATGCTTACTATGAAGCACAAGTTTCCGGCGCCTCATCGTGTGGTTTTGCTTGAAAAACTACACACAGAAACAGCCTACTCTATACATGAGTTCACAGGCGCATTTTTAATGTCAGATGACATACACAAAACAGGCAGGAAACGGCGTTTTACACTGGCAGATGCAAACTCAAGCACATCTTTAAGGCGATTCGATTCAGTATCGATGAAGCTGAGCCGCTATACTGAATATGATTTGTACACAATTTTTTTCAAAAGGGGAGGATGGCTGTGTACATGGACGAGGTGTTTGTATTCAGCTGAGACCTTCCGTCAACAACACCTCCGACACCCACGGCGTGCGCTTCATCTACTGCGGGGCACGTAGTGGAACGCAGAAGCACTCATGCATTTGTGGATAGGTATTTAAACCTTGTTAAACCGCTCTGGCGTGCCTCTATTACGCACATACAGATCAACCATAATCTGACCACTGCGAGCCGCCCTGAGGCAGGTGGACAATCAGAGAGCACCAAACGCGTCTGCAGTATTTACGCCTTTACGCCCATATTATTGCAAATAATTTGCTTGGCTTTCTATTAAGTACTGAATGCGCTCTATGATACAGCAGTGAGGTCGTCTAGTCGTTGTTCTTCCGCATCCTTGGTCTACACTGAGGCACCCTTCTCCAATCCGAGCCTGAGCCTGGTGATCCAATACCAGCACACACCCATGAAAGCTGACAAATTTGAAGGGACAGCTTAATAGTGGATGCTACTGCATGCGGACAAGTCAAGAGAGAACAGCATGGAATCGTGAGAGGCGACGGATGGCTGTGTGGCTCGAGCCTGGAGATTTGATCCTGGTAAAACAGCAGGCTTCAAATGGTGTGCTCGACGGCCACCAGACGAAGACGAGAAAGGCCACCTCGCTATAGGCATTTGTTTCTCCTCAGAAAGAGTCTTATTCTTACACAATCGGCTTTTTCAAAAGCCTCAGATGTCACATAATTATCGATATTGGGTTCCTTTCAAAAGTTGCGAAACTCGATCCAACAGGAACTTTCTTGTATGGGCAAGTGACCTGTGTGGACGAAGAGGATCAATGGGAATTAGAGGTGCTGGATTCTAGAACGGTTGAGCGCTGAGGACACAATAGAAGGGAGCTTGCAGCGAAAAGGGGTGGAGAACACAACCTTGTTTATCGACGGGGAAGCGGTTGCGAGTTTTGTTGCCTGCGGAATAATTTACGGTCTTATTTGGCTCACAATGCAGGAGCCATGAAAGGTATTCCCTGTGTTTCTCGGTAATTGTCCTTCCCTAGCGCAGGCCACGTGAAATGAGTCAGTTCATACTTAGGCGTTGTAGAAAATTCCCGGGCACTTACTGCTAAGGCGTGTTGTATATTGGATTTAGGTGCAGGCAGTCGTAGCTGTACTCATCCACTGTTCTCCCTTTTCCCCCTATTGGGACTTCGATATCGACTGCGTTGCACGTAGCTGCTGTACTGGCATGTTGAAAATTCTCTGAGGCTCAGGAACGCTGCTAAACTAGTGTAATTTCTTTTACTTCTGCAAATGTTTTTTTCGCCTGGTTTCTTGTAGCAGGGGGCTGACGCATTCCCGTGATTCGAAGAGGGCGAGCCATTGCGCTGCCTTCGTGCTGTTGGTTTGGTTTGTCGTTCGTTGTTGGCTAGTGGTTGCGTCTGCCTTCCTCTTGATTTTGTCTCAGTGGTTGATGCATACATGGGCTCTTCTCATTAGCACTGCTTTTTGTTCTCTCTGCCTGGAGTGTGGGGATAATGCGGAACATTGCCGCTCTTCATTGTGCAGTTGGTCTCGATACACCGGTGTGGAGTACAAGAACGTGTGGTTGGAATTGGTGGGGGAAGGCCCAGCGGGTTAAGCTACACATCAACGCTTTCTACTACACTGGTATACCGAAGGATTATCAAAGAACTGACATCCTGGTCTGTCCGCTCGTACACTTTATCCATTGCAGAGCACTCTTTACACGGTATGTGCATGTGCGCTAGATGCTATGCGCAATTAGCTGTGGGTGGTCGGAGTGCTGGGAGGGTGCAACAACGCGCATGCTAGCTGTCCTGCCCTCATCTTGGACATTTTAAACAGTGTGGCAGGGTTGTGAAGGATGTTTTTGATGTAAAGCACTCAATCCTTTCTATTAAATTTTTACTTAGTATAGACTGAAGTGTGTCCGTGTGCAGACCATAGATGAAGTGTTCTTAAGGCAAGCAAGTGAAGGGGGAGGAGAGGAGGAAGCAGTAGGTATGGGACACGAATGAGAGCATAGGGATGAGAAGGCGATGAGAAAAGCTGCGATGGTAGGTGCGAGTGAATATCAATGGCTAGGATAGGCAGATTTAATTGGGAAGAACAGAGTACAAGTACAGCCAGTGCTCCGGTGGTGGTATGCACAACGTGTTTTATAGCGTGGTTTAGACTCAGGGTGCCGGGGTTGACTGCGACTTCAAGAATCTTAAAGGGAGAGGAGTCTAGTAAAATACTGCCAGCACATACTGCCACAATGCAAAATGGAGCAAATCGAAGTTTCCAGCTAAGTGGCAGGTAGTGAAAGAGGCACGGGAACCGTCACAGAAAACGTGAATGAGTCACTCACAAGATAATGCAGACCTTGGCTGCAGAGAAGCACTTCGACATAAGCTGGGCGGCTGGCCAACGCCTTACTATCGTTCATGAATCTCCCGAGTAAGCAACCACACAGGCCTACAAAAGTCCAGCCAATCCCAATTTCTGTGCATCTCAACTCAAAAGCATTGCAAACCGCCATATCATCCCTTTTAAAAAAGTTCCGCCAAGTCCGATTCTGTTGAAGATTTTAGATGAGAGCCAAATAAATGACAGCAACAAACGAGACACAGCTGCACAAAAACCTCGCTGGGGGTCACCGGTGCGAGAGCTGGAGGCCCCCGGGGGCCCTTAGCGTTGCCCCTCCTGGGGCTCAAAATCCCCAAAAAAGTAAACCCATTGAAATCTTTCTTGCTCATTGATATGGTTTCGCGGTACTATGAGATATATGGGTAGCTTTGGTACACTTGTCTGACTCCTCACTTTTCCTCGTGTCTGCGCACCAGGGCACAGAATGCAGATCACGTTTAGCAGTGAGGGCTTTACCATCGGCAACAGCAAGAAAAGACTATTTAAGGGCGCATGAACGCTTCAAGGAAGCACCCCTAGCCATGAATCAAGTTCCTTGGCTCAATGGAAATGCAGGAGACTGGTTCTTGAGAAGTCTGTCATACCACACAGAGCATCCTGTGCTAAAGTGGGCGACAAGAGGTCAGCAAGTCGCAGCTTAGAATCATAATGCTCACCCACCAACGGCATTGGATGTGTGTGTGTGCCCACTTAACAGCTTTCTTGTCGTTGATACATCCAATCATGCAATCACTCAGGCCAGAGTTGATGCAAGGCATTCAGCCAACGCAGCAAGTTACCTAGCAGTCGCTCACGCCCATACCCTAGCACCAAAGTGCATCGAAAGAAGCGATAGATGTGTAGCCTATAACTCGCTTATTTACATTCTTGAGCGAGATTTGAAGTGGCACTTGTTCTTCTGAGCCTTCCCACTTCAGCTGCTGCACCGAGTCGCGGCTAGATGCCTCGCTTGTACTTTCTGCACTTTCACACCATGCTTCCACTTTGAGGTATTATTGTGTTATTTCTAACTTTTCTTGTTCATGTAACGGCTGTTGCTTGCATTAGTCAACCCCGGTTCCTCGGTTGTCTCGAGTTCGTTCTCTCAGGCGAGGCAATTCGTCACGGTGATATTATCTGCATTCGCGGGGATTCTGGATCCCCAAAGAGCCTTCTCTTAGCAGTAAGCTCGTACGCCTCCTTATGCGCAATCAGCAGTCGTATAGAACCCACCGCCTATCGTTTGCTCTTTAGGGAACCTACCGAACCCAGAGGATATCAGGAATAAACCTACGCTTTTTCCTTGCCTTCCCTGTGCTGTTCCTGAATTGCCTCATCGACCTATCAGCAAATCCTGGCGGAGTTTCTTATACCCCAGTCAGCCGGGGGTATCGGCGAAGAGTGCCTACTTGTTCTCGGAAATGATAGCATCTCGCCCAACCTCCTCAAGGAACAGCTTCTGTGTAGAATAAAGACCGTGAGTTGTATGCGAACTTGTGAATCAAATAATGCTGATTAAAACGGACTGGCATCTATATGTGACTGCTACCTAGCTTTCTGTTGTTTGCACTGTACACCTCCGGGATTATGTTCTCACGAATCAATACAATTGGATGTATAAGGGGAGTACAGAAAAACAACTTCACCTGTTCGTGCCCCTATCTGCATGTGTCTACAACAGGGCATGTAGATTCAAACGCCCTTTCGATGTGTGTTACTGTGTTTTCAGTTCCATATGCGATTTTCTGAGTATGAATACACTGTGCATTGGTGCGAATGATATTTTTGCCGATAGGTCAGGGGCAGCTTAAGGTCTGAATCTGCGGGGAAACCAGAAGACTTCTTGCTGAAATGCCTTGCGTACGTCAATACAGACCTCATGTATATGTATATGTATATAGCTCTTTTGTTCTTGGAGTGTAAGTTTTGTATAGCCGTCAAAAAAGGCTGAACTAGGAATACCCTTTTACCGATATTTCGTAGTACACAGCCACTTAAAAGCCATGAATCCATACCTCGTGAATGTGTGAATCAAGCGGTTAGTTACTCTGAAGGTGCAAAATACCACACAATTCAAAATTCTGCACAATCCTCTGGTGTTGTCACACGATGCTCTATGCACAGTACAACGCACCCAGAAGCTCTACGTGGGTACCCAACCCAACGCAAGCACGTAGTAAACGATTCAAGTGCACCAGCATTTGCATATCTGTCTAGTTGCATGTTTGCATAAGCTTCTGCATTCGCCTGCGGTGGTGTGTTTTCAGCGGTTTGCACGTGGTGTCTGTGGCGTCGGTCGATCAGCTGCAGCAGTTTGTCTCATCACTGCCGAATTTACTATCATTCGGAGTCTTGAGAAACTGCAGAGTTGTCTTCTTTGACGATCTTGACTTAGGTATGGCTGCTGGACACTTCTGTTCATGTTGCACATTTGCGCATGGGGACGAGGGGAGATGCGACGACCTCCAGAGTAGATTCTAGGGGCATCATGGGAGAATATGTTCATCCCACTTGGGTTGTAGTTTTACTTTTACCCGAGCGGAGTTGGCTTCTGCACTCCGTTACCGAAAGACATCCAGGACGCTGCTTAGCACGGGGACGTACTGCTCCTGGTGTGTTGCATGCTTTCATGCGTGGATGCATATATACCTTGCTTAAACATGTTTGCATGCCTTCAAACATACAGGAATGGTGCCGGGAAGTGCCTTCGGCCAACAAATGGCCCGACTGACAGATGTGGTACGCTCCCTCCTCCAAATTGCTGCGGAGCGCAGTCTGCTGTTTATGTATGGACTAGCCAAGCGCCCAGACCCTCAAATTCAAACTGCCGCACGTGGTGCCTTTATTCCGAACCATCCAATCACGGGGATGAACGTACCGCACCACACTTTGCATTCCTATACAACGCTGGCCAACGAGCAGGCGGCAGCCAATTCTGCAGATACAGCAGCTGCGGGGCAATATGGCTGCAGCAGCACGCCTTGTCAGGATGACTTCTGGCGGCCTCCCCGTAGGTTTGTTTTACAGTTGTTGTGCGATCCACAACAGGCAAACCCGAGTGGTTGCTTCCCCTCTAGGTCAATCTCCCCCTTTGTTTGCACATCGGGAACCCAAGAGAGTTGCGTTTTTGCCATTGGGACGGACGGCGAGTGCGTGCTTCTCCAGCGCTAAACGAAATTCTTCTCAATGCAATAGCGAAACCATAATATATGGTTTGACGTGTGTAATGAGGATGAGGTTATAGTGTTCTAAAATTCGATCGAGTGCTTCAAAGGTACTCTACAGCTTTTCGAACACATGGCATATTACTGGCTGTAGAGAGCTGGCCTGTAGAGGTGTTCGACGTTAAAGTGGTCAGTACAATATCTTGCGGGTTGCCCCATACAAGCAGAGAGAAGCACGCATGAAATACAACTGTTCTACTTTTCTCAAAAAGAAGCGCAGATGTCTGTCTTAAAAGCAACTAGGGCCAGAAAACATGTACCAAACGCAGCGCGTTCCTCGTGGGGGAAAAGCAAGACCTAGTGCATGCCTGGCACAAGGTTTGCTGCATTAGCATTCCTTTTTGCTGCTATGGTAAGACTAAAAGACTCTACCGCTTTAGATCCTCAGCTCGTACTGACCAGACTCCGTGTAATAGGAGACAGTCCTGGATGCGGAGTAGTTTGCCTTTTCAGTGACTCGCAGCTGCCGAATGTAGAAGCCGCTTGCAGTGAAACCGGGGAGGGAGAAGGAAAGACGCAAGGGGCCTCGCACGGGTGACGGGGGACTATAAACCTCCAGTACAAAGCGCAGAGAATACTCGTGGCCCCCCGGAAACCTGCAGCGGAGAATGCATGGTCACACACTGAACCCGGCATTCCTGCTTCCTTGGATTCATCCTCTATAATGCAGTTGCTCAAAAACGGATATCCGGAAATACATGTCTGGCAGACCACGGGGCAATGCAGGGCTTTATAACGTATTCTCTCGAACTTCTGGTGCCTCACTTGGGGATTTTCCACACAACGGCCAGTTGCGAACTGTCATACTCCATTTTGCCCCAGCCAGCCATTGAAGGAATGAAGATCCTGCTGGCTTCTGGCGGTGTTGGAACAATTACCTGAATTTTAATGCACTCTAGGAGCGGAATGAGCATTAGGGAGCGCGGCTGAAAAGATGCCGCCATATGCGAAAGTATGGCTCAGGTCGTATTACCGTGTGCGCATACACCGGAGGTAAGGGTGGCGGGTGAAAATGCACCTCTACGTCCTTGGCAGCTATTCTTGGCGAAAATTGGGCCTTCATATATACCAAGTACTCAAAGCGGCCTGCCCTCTTTTCGAAATAGAAGGGGCAAAGCTTAATTGGGACCTTCACACAGTCGTCGCACCTGCATAAAAACAGGTAGTAGGAGGATACTTTGTCAAAGCGACAGACAAACAGAACTCCTATGGAATGTGTCCACACCCGGGAGCCAAGCCTGCGGATGGTTTCTGCCGCAATATGAACAGTCCGCAGCTTACTCATACACAAAACGTCATGTCCACCTACCAAAGCATTCACCCCGAAAAGCAACGAAGATCGAACCAATGCAAGAGCAACCAAAGATCGATTCCGAACAGCGAAACTAGCGGCCTATCCCATGTGCTTGCCTGTAATTCATAATCTCGAAGGTCCCATCTGGAGGAGCAAAGGCCAAGGTCATTTCGTTGGCTTGCGTCGAAACGCGCACACACTCATGATAGCTACACCCCAGAGTTTTCACGCTTTCCCTGGCTCCGATCGGCACAAATGCCGCAGTGCCCTGCGGAATGACATTTGTTGGTACGAAGGGTGAATGCGGCTCACTGGGCCGACTAGGGCGCCGGGGACCTCCAATAGAGGCACCCGCTGTAGACACCGATCCATGGACACTTTTCGTGGCGTCCACTGCGGTTCCCGGAAGCGGCGCGTTGGTGATGGCCTGGACCTTGGGCTTCTGTTTGCCATTCGCTGCAACAATCTCATTCGTCACGATTTTGCACTCTGGCATTCCGGAAAGGCTGCACTGGGCGATTACCTTGCCCTCCACTTCCTGCCGAATGATGCTGCCGCTCTGGGCCACAAGGACGTGCAACTTCTCTACGACATCAATTATCAATTCGTTCTTCCTGTGGCGGATCCCAGCAGGTCGCCACGGGGTCACCCCAGTCGCCTGGGCGACCAGTCTTGAAGCACCTTCACTGGTGTCGGCCTGCACGCTGGGTCCTCCTGCGCTGCGCAGGCCACTGATGGCTTCTGCAAAGAGCAGAAGCACTTTAGGATCAGAGGTTTGAGGTATGCCTCTGTCGATTGCCTCATCCAGCAGTTCATACACCAAATCTGCATGAGAGAGGAGGAAGGACTCAGTTAGGTTCCCCTGAGATCGGCGCCTGCCCAAGGCCCCAATGGCTATGGGGGAAGCGCCCGACCGGATAGTGCATTCTTGCAGCAGCAAGAGCAGGCGACGAAGGAGCTCAAAAGCCATCGTGGCATTAGGGTTGCCCCTGCAGGCAGCGGCAGCCACAAGGCCCCCACTACCCCCCATCCGTAGTGCAACATCTGTCCGCCGAAGACAAGCCTCCAGCCCCACAAAGGCAGATTTGGTCAAATCTTGATCAGCAAGCGTCTCAGCAGCCCCTATGGAGACGTAAAAGAAGGTGGTTTTATCCTTAGCATCCCCCACGCACACCACCGGGGGCGCAGACTGAATATAGAGCCGGGGGAAAAGCGCGTGGCGAAAAGCTGCCAAATGTGCAGCCGGCACTTCGAGAACTCCGAAGCTCTGAGACAAAAGCAGTGTGCCCCTGGAGTTCAGGAAATACAACGCATCGAACATCTTGGTCGGTCGTGGGGTGTATTTACACCCAAGGAAGGCGGCACCACACCAACTGCGCTCGGCCAGAAGCAGAGATCAGAAGAAAAGAACTCAACTTTGGGAGTCATGAGCCCGATCTGCCGTAAGTTCTGCCACCTCTTTTGCCGTAAATAATTAAAGCATACAGAGCTGAATGAACAAGAATAAGAGCAGAAACAACACGTACGAGCACATGCACCCGATGTCCTCAATCCGTTGTCCAGAGTAGGAGATCCCAGCCGTAGTCGATCCAGTTGCACAGAGGCCCCAGAATCCTATAGCCTTCATGGGGAATGGTGCTCAAAAAGCCTCCGCTTTACTAGAAGGCAGCCTTGCGTTTTCTTGGAGAGACTGACAGACTCCGTAGCTGGTGGGAGATTTTCAGTGAGACGCGTTCCAAAGACAAAACTCCATAAGGCTCCAGCAATTAAATGGTACTATTTTAGGAAAGTTACAGGCAACAATAGGGGGCAGCGGCAAAAGACACACCAGCTGCGCCAAACAGGCAACTGAGGCAACCGACAGTTAGTAGCGGAGCCCCGAAGTACGATTACGTCTCTCCGCTGCAGGAGCGCTAGGCACTTTTCCTTCTTAGCAACATAGTAAGAGAAGATGTTGGGCGCACAGAGAAAGAAATAAGGGGGATAAAACCGGTGGTCACCGCTGATCCCCAGATTATCTGCAGCACAAGGTATCAACAAGTTGCCCTTAAGAGTCTTATCAGAGTACAAGGGCGAATCACATTGTAAAAGAAAGGATGTGTCCCGTTCAATTGGAAGAAAATTGAGGGTTTCCAACTTTGAGAAAGCCCCAAAGTCGACGTCCAGTGCATGCATGACCAAGGCACATACAGATCCAAGTGAGGAGGTCCCAGGAGTAAGAAACCTGCATTATCAAGCAGTTAGCGTGTAAGGAGATGTCACATTAAAGGGGCTTTTTGCAGCTCTACTACACGCGGAAATAAACAAAGCATCCTGCCCACCTATGTTAGACATAACACAGGTAAAAGGCAAAGCAAACATGTACAAGCTCACTGCTGATAAGATTACATTGCAGTTCTCCACTCCCTGTGTTTCGACCTGGACAGAAAAGACCCCCGCAGTTGCTTCATGATCATACGGTTTACATGAGGCATAATTACTGCAAGATGGTATCTGGGTATAAGTTTGCAAGAATAAAGATTCACTACGAGTTTACAGGAGGCTTTTAGTTTGGCTTTATTCTATGGTTCCCAACCAGAATTAGCTTTCTCCAAGAATATCTCGTAAGACTCAGCAATTTCTCAAAAAATGTAAGACTTTATAGTGTGTCACCATGGGGAGTCACTTAACTCTAGATTCAACACGGACTAAATAGGTTATTGAGTATTTTTACTATGAGTCCTCTCGTAGCCTGCGTTATCCCCTAAGATTTGAGAGATAAGCAAAGGAGATAGTCAGAGTGGGCGTGGCTGCACCCTCTGCTAACTCCTACCACTCACAACTAGTTGGACAGAGCATCCAGCAGTCGTGCAGACGAGATTGCGTCTGCTTGTTTTGAACTAAATGCACTCTAAAACAAATGAAAATACGAACGGACAAACCAACTAGCCAATTTCTCACTAATTCGTACTCAAATACAACTAGTATGGTACCACGCGGTCACGATGAGCTTAGGCCCCAACAACTTCTGCCCCCTATCCGAGACATGCGGCGCCCTCGCGCTCTTTGCCTGTATATTGAGAGCAGCTACGTACAGGGCAGCGCAAGAGTTCTCGTGTTATTGCCACTTCCCTGGCACAGAGAAACGCAAAAGCCAGTGCAAGTCAGAAAGAAAGGGCGTGCATTTCTCGCCAAAGACAAATATGAGGAACGAAACACATAAAGTAGTAGACAACGGACAAGGGATTAAAACTACGATGGCTGTGCCATAGCTGGCTTTCGTCACAGCGCTACAATAGGTGGGCCTTCTGCTACCAGAAAACGGAAGACACGCAAATTGTGCTAGAGCAAATTCCCTTTAGTCCAGCAGTGCCTTCGAGACTCATAGAGCAAATTCAGTATACTAATATAGCCGGCCCATGCATCATAGCTAATATTTGAGTCCGAACAAGACATAAGGAAGAATGTAGGGACAACATTCGTAAGTGCGCCTGCACATCAGATCTGTGAATACACAATACCTTATTATTAACTGAGAACTTTTCAGGCATTATCCATGAAGTAAATAAATCTTTCACGCGGAGCATGCACTACCTGAATGACAATTACGAAGGACGCCGATGCTTTGGTTCATGGCGAAACGGGCCTTTAATCAAACAAAGCCGTAAGGTTCACCGCAGGTAACGAAACATGCAACCGCTCCTCCTTCAATTCACCAACGTGGGCGTTCTTCAATTCCTTCGCTAGAAGCACCCATCTATCGTGTCATTGGCGCTCAATAGGTCTAGAACCCGGCAGTTATACGGCACCCTGTACCACCACCCGCGCGCGTTACACCTTGCCCGCACGTCAGTGTCCATTAACAATACGAAGAGTTTCGGAAAACCTTGAGAAACTTTCTGGATACCGACAGATCTTGTCTTAAGAAAACGGCAAAAATTCCTAGCAACCTGGCCGTAAGGACATGTTTGCACACCTTCTGGTGCACCTCGTAAAAAGCGTGTTGATCAACTAGGGCCGAATCTTCACGCTCGTAGCATAGCCGACCAACGTATATCACAACTCCTTGGCGGTCCTCCGCGAGCTTTGTGCAGACACTCGCTTCACTACCCAGCTGTTCCCTGGATCCCTCCGCTGCTGAGGCTGGCTGCTGACCTTTCTCCATCAACCCCAAGCGCCCATCGTAGAGGGCCTCACCAGTGCAGACCAGAGATTCCGGAGACCAAATATCACGCAGATGTGCTGTCGTATAATGAAAATACTGAGCACCAAGAAGCAACCCTAGCCATGCAAGCGGAATGGTGTATGCTTGAAGATATAAACACTGCAGAAGGGTGGATTTTGATGCTCTCCCTCTGCGCATCTGCATCAAGGTACAGCGCACTGGTTGCAGTGTGTCCACCTGCGGCAGACCAGATTGCAGTGGGCGTACGATGGTCAAAGTATGGGGAGCTCCAAAATGCACTCCCTAACGGACTGACACACTTCAATCCATATCCATAATGATGGTATTTAACATGTGGGTATCTTTGAGACACAGGTTAAAAATAACCGATAGATTCTCTGAGATGCGAGAGAACTTGCACAAAGGATGAAATGGGCAAACTTGCTGAGTCCGTCGACACAG